CCTCTAGGAGAGTCAAATAGAAAATCTTAAGGTTAGATCTTAGGCTCTAAGGAGAGAAAGAGACCTCACCAAAAATGAGGTCAACAATGATAATGAGGATGAGTGACCGTAGTCTTTTGTTTGGAAGCGTGGGATGTTATTTTATTCGTTGTTGCTGTTAAATTGTGTTCTTGTTGGCTCAGTTTGTAATTTTATTGTGGAGCTCTTTATATTCTTATTGTAAATATTTAATTTTTTTTTTGTGCAGCTTTATTTGGTATGATGTTTTGTTCATTTCATTAGCACTTTTTGTTACATACTTGTTGATTCATTGTTGATATGAGCATGTCGTAGGAAGTATTATTATTATTTATCTCTCCATCTGTATTCATGTTCAAATTGCTATAAGTGTTTGGAATTAAGTTTCGGGGGAGGGGGAATCTTGTGGTGCCTAAGGTTATTTGCCTTAGTAAATTAAATTTAAGTTGTTGTTTTTAGTTAACTTGAGGAAAGTGTGGATAAATATTGAACTGTAACAATCTTGAGAAAGGAGAAACATAGTTAACTAATTTAAACTCTATGTTAATTGAGTTAGACTAGTGCTAAGTAAACTTTGCAACAGTATATGTAAATGTAATTAACATATTTACTTTTAAAAAGAATTAAATATTTGTTAAACTAGGAGCACTTAGATTTATATTTAATAAGAATTTAGCTTCCATATAATTTTATTTTTTTTAATACTTCTTAAAATTTTAAAACGTTTAAAAGAAGAGGAATGTGGTGTGTTTCAATTTTGAGAGATGATAGTAGGATTCAAAATTATTACAAGGCCTATCCTAGTATAGTAATCCTCAAGGAATTATTCTTAGAATTGCAATATGATTCCTAAAGTATGAAAAAAAAAAGGTTTAAATTAAAAAATATAATGAGGAGAAGTTTGAAGAGAAGGCTTAACAAAAATTGGTTTTATTAACATTCTTTTTAAATTGAAAACTCCACTACATTCCTAAATTTATTTATGTTTATGAAGTAAATTATTTAAAGGAGAGCTTAATTCTACATGTCTGATATTTGATTTGCACTATTTAGCATTTACTATTTTTTTAAAATAAATATGAAATCACATTTTATTTGTTGAATGTTTGCCTATCAACTGGAATAACTTACTAGAGATATTACATTTTCCTAATTATGGCTCTTTTGAGACATGATTGTAGATAATTTTCCATGAAACCCACTTCTATAAGTTAACTAATTCAATATTTAAGTATTGGTGTTATTTGGGGACAAGTAACCTTTAAGTTTGGGGATTTTGATGTGTGGATAAGTTAGCTAGCATTTCTTGATGTTATTATACATTTTTATAGATAAAATTGTAATGTAAGAAAGGTATTTATGTGTTTATCTTGTAGGGATAACATGTAATGGAAATAAGGAAACTAAGAGAAGATATGTGGCTAAAAGGTGTAACGTGGCGCTAGTGCCTAGGCGTCAGACCCTAATTTATCGACTCGAGAGGTTGGCACTCAAGCACCAATCACTGGGCGCCTAGACGCCCATCCACTCTTCAGTAGACAGAGAGCTTAACACCTAGGTGTCAGCCCCTGGGCGCTTATGTGGAAAATATTATCATGTGCAATTTCTATAGTTTGGGACTTCAAATGTGCGGCTCATGTGGGGGTATCATGCAGGGCTGCAGAGGAGTCATGGAAGCCAAGTTATAGAGGCTAAAAATATCAGTACATTGCAAGCTTAGAGGGGATTAATGCCAGTTGGTTTCTTTGTGGGTTCTGCTTACTTTAGAGATCCCTTCTTCTTCTTCCAGTGTAAAGGACAGGATGAGTTCTACAAGAGTAGCAACCTAGAAATTCAAGAAGAGTGTTGATTAATTCATATTATGCTTGTTGTAAATGAGTGAAAGCTAAATCTATTTGTGTACTTTCTGTTGTCTTTCAGTTGTAGCAATTTGATAGAGGATTTCTCTTTGGTTCAATGAATTTGTTTAATGTGTTTATCATGTTTCTTGAGTAGACTTTTACTTTTCCTTATGATGATTAAGTAGGATGGATGGAATGAGAATTGCTAAGTATTTTAATTACTTTACATGGTGATGATAATCCTTCAGTGCTTAATTTATTTTTCATTCTGGTCAAGTGAATTATTAAAATATGTTGTGAACCATAAGTCTTGGGAAAGTATGTGGTAGAATCAACTGAATTTATCACATTAACTAATGGGATATATGTGGATATGCCTTGTAGGGAGATGCAAATGTTAGGGAAATATGCTTTTGTGGGTTAGCTATGGAATTTTAGTAAATAAAGCCATTTTTAAACAAGCTTCTTTACGCTACCGGGAGGTGGTAAAAGAAGATTATTGCTCCTATTTGTCTCTAAATGTTTCTACTTGCAATTCTCAATTTCATAAAATCCTCTTAGCCCATTAGAAGGAAGTATTTGACACTTTCAATATAATTGTGATACTTTCAATATAATTTTGATAATTTAGTATTAATTTTGTAGAACTTTAACTTTTAAATTGCTTGTGATACATTTGGATTACTTTGTAGAACTATAACAAAACCCAAATTTTAGGCTAGGACCAAAACTAGTAGGCTTGAACTTTTCCTAACAAAAATTACCTCATTTCTTATGGGATCAACATTCCGGACTCAAATCAAATATTACTAATACAACATGTGCACTTGCGTGAGCCACATGTGCGTTGCAACATTAGGGATTGATATTAAGGTTGTTGGATCCCGTTGTATTTGTGGGTCCCACCATGTCATTAACACAGAGAATCATAAAAGGAGGAGAGCACAAGGAAATAAAAGCCAGCTACAAGTCTCCAAAAGTTGTAATACAAAAGAAACATGTGATTAAAATCCTTATGCCTTAGCTACCCATAAGACCCCTTATTTATAAGTAGCGACTTCGGGTCTCAAGTTCTGTAAAAAAAAAAAAAAAACTATAACATGAACTATACATAAATGAGTAAATATATAAAATGTAAGAGGCATGTATCCTAAGTAAAAAATCAAACTAAGAATAATGATTGATTGTCGAGTGCAAATAAGTTATCTGTCTCTTTGATAGTAATCAATGCACAATTTTTGTGGACTTAAATAATTGCATGAGTATGAATGATCAAACGAGTCTAACAATTTCATTGAGTTAGTTCTTTATTAGTTTTGTGGATGTGCTATCCTTTCTTAATCGATTGCTAAGTCCACCCAGGGTATGGTGGGCATATACTTTTTACTTGTCTGGGTGATCTCGCCAGGGATTTGATTAATGAGTTTGTCTTGAGTTTTGTTAGTGAGCTCCATGTGGATCTGGTTGGCAAATCAAACTTAGCTTGGCGCATAGCTTCATTGTATTCTTGGTAAGTTCTTCGATTTCAATTGGAGATAATTTCTTAGGTGAGTTTGTTTTATGCAAAACATGAGTAATGAATCCATTTATTTAACATATTTTGAAGGTTGCTATCGAAATAAGCCAAAGCTCATGTTATCATTCTTCACTTAAAATCAATGCATATTTGATTATGAAAACATCATTATCCTTTTCATAAGAGTTAACTTAGATGCCCCCAAAATAGACTAATATCTCTAATTTCCCTCTCAAAACTTAACAAAGAATAATTTTTTTTTTCATATGTTGATACCTATAAGAATTAGAAAGAGAGTTCAACAATGATGTGATGGATTTTGACAAATAATGTTAAATTATTGCATGTTAAAACCATGTCTAAGTCAATCAAGGTTCTCAAATGATATAGTCCTTAACATAACCTTAGTGCCTGTACATGACAAGCAATAAAAATTAGTGAGCTTATCTTAAGAACTGAAAGGTTGATTAGATGATATGATGTCTAAGTCAAATGATGAACTAAGATAAATACGATAACGATTAAAAAAAAAAAAACTATTTTGAGCCCCTTTAGAGAATTTAATAGAGAATTAGAGATTCACCTTTCATTACCACTCAAGAGGGTGTATAATTGCACAACCAAAAACAATGATACTTTAGTATTTCATGAAGTGAATATTGAATAAACGAAAAACCTCATCCTTGGGATCCATAAGAAACTAAAATACCCTTAAATCATGGGCATTTGGCCCATCATGACTATAATGTGAAAAAATAATGCCTCATCATCTATAATATTTATGCTGAGCCATTAAACCCATTGGATAAGGGACAAATTGATGAAGTCCTATATGACTTAGAATTAGTGTCATTCGAGATTTTAATTAAACCATAAGACCTATAATGTATATTGAAATTAATGTTGAAAATGATCTTAATTGAATGGTGAGTTAGATTAATGCTAGAATCCTAAATTAATGCGCATTAGAAATATTTATCAACTATGATCAAAAGGTTAATATAAATCTGAATTCAATGTAAAAATGCAAGCATTGGTAGGATTACAATTATATTCCTTATTATCCTAGAATTATTAGAGTATAACATTGACATTCTTAATCATAACTAAAATTAATTGGTTGAAAGTCACTTTTTGTGACATTCAATTTAAGGGCCCGTTTGAAGAAGCAGAAGAAGTGTTGCACAGTCCGCCCCGCAGCGCTAATGCGTTTGCCAAAATTGTGTTGTGTCTACTTTCTCAAGAAGTTGTGACGAGAAAGCTGTGTTTTATAACTTGACCTAATTAAGTACGATGACTCCCAAAAAATTGTGATTTGACTTTTTAAAAAATAAAAAAAAGTTATAATAGATTCTTAAAAAATGCCTCTTATATAACAATTATATAATAGCTTCTTTCAAACAAGAAAAAATATAATTATTCTGACAAAATAAACAAGCTCCTAGGGACATTCCTCACCATCTAACATAGAGCGTCCATCTCTGGCTGCCTCATAGAACGCACAAGACTTCCTCTTCAA